TGGCTGTGTTTCTGGAAGAACTGGGAACCGACTAAGTGACTAGTTGAAGGACAGTAACCAGTGTGCTTTGAAGTCGAGCATTATCAGAAAGTCTGTATTTCCGTTTTTGTTCTCCCTGAGGAGAGGCAGACCGGGTTTGTTCTGTGCCGGGCACGTCCTGGAGCTCCCCTCTCCGCCCCCTTTCTCCCACCACTGTCCAACCCTTCCGCGTGAACGCAGTGCCGGCTTTGTCCACTGCAGCCCTGGGCTTCTGCTAAGAGCGGGTGGGTTCTGCACTTCACAGACGCATGAGGCATGAGAGAAGACAAGGAGCTTAAGGAATACCATCTGGGCACCCTGAAAATCACATTGCCTGGCGCGAAATTGCAAGTGCAGTGTCTTCTATCCTCAGAACATGGGCAAAGTTGAAGATGACCAATGTCATTGGAGATCTAATCCCATTAAAAGCAAGCACCTGCTATGTAGGGCATACTCCAAGTTTGGTTATCTCTCCTCCACTTCCTGAACATAGATGCCAATCTAGGTGGCTGCGAGATTAATAGACATTAATATGGCTGTGTAGCCATAGTGCCACCAGGAGTTTCGTATCTGTGCTGAAATAGAGGCTTCTCATTACTCTGACCTCTTCATTTAAGCTTCATAATGGGGATGAGCTTGCTCTCAAAAGCAGTGGATGTGGACAGTGGGGAATGTTTAGGATTGCAGACTGACCTCAGGGTTGCAAAAGTTTTAGAAAATTGGGGCATATCTTCTACAGGGACGTAAAGACTAAATAATTTTGAAATGGCTGTCCCATCCCCCCTTCAGCCCTCCTTCCTCTTTCTCTGCAAGGACTATCTGTGGTCTCTACTGTCCATGAGCTGCCTGAATGTTAAGGGATCACAGGAAAGGCAGCATAGCTTAGTGGGTAAGGGTGCAGACCGTGATGCCAACCTCCCCGTATTCAAATCCGGGCTCAGGGACTCAGCTCATGGGCATGGGCAATCACCTCACTTCTCTGTGCTTGCATCTCTTCATCCCTAAAATAGGGATAATAATAATGGTAGCAGGGTTCTTGTGAGGATTAAGTGCCATTGAAGTACACAGAGTACTTTAGAACAGTGCCAGATACTTAATAGCAATATATGCACCAGTTGCTACATTTTATTGAGCAAGTACTAGGTGCTAAGAACTTGACCTGGAAACACCTTCCTTAACCCTTACAGCACCCTTAGAAAGAAGGCATATTTAAAGCTTTTTCCAGTGATAAAACTGAGGCTAGAGAGGTTGTCAACTTGACCAGAAGGCACTTAACTATTAAATGGCCAGTATGGAATTCAGACTCTGATCTTTCAGATGCGAAACTGTGTGCCAAACCACGGCGCTCCCCCGGAATGAACTCAGACAAGGGCAGAGCATTGCAGCTACGCATGTGGCCCGAGAGTCATGCTCTCTGTTGTTAACCTCAATATTGTCTCTTTCTGGATAAGACCTCACTTAGGCAGCCTTGACTTGTGAAGGTGTCTTCATTGATTCCTTGTCCCGTAACATTGTTTGCCCTTTTGTGCCTTTTTAGTATTCAGTGTGACTCCCTGTCCCTCACAAGAAACCTTTTCTGTTCTATGCAGGATAAAGCTGCATCCAGGGTAGAAAATTATTTGGAATGCCGGTGCCCTCAGTGATTGTCTCCCTTTCAACTCAATTTCTTCTGAGTGGCTTGGTGGTAATAGGGCTTTTCTCCTCCCATCACTGGAAATCTGCACTGTCCCAGAGAACACGTGGGGTACAGAGCTCACCCTCTTCCACCTCTTAGCAAAACCTAGGAGGCTCTTCCCAGAGTTTAGTGAGGCAGCCTCGGCCTGGTTCACCTGGAAACCTGAGGGTTGGTTTGAGATGTACCCGTGGTCTTTACCTGCCCTAGCTCTTACACTGTTATCCATTCTGCACGTGTCGCTGCTGGTTTGAAGCTTTGGCCACCAGCATCACCATGTCCACATGGACTGCTACTCTGGCCACCTGACTTGTCTTCTTCAAGCCCCCACCACCCGCACCCTGCCAGAGCTTCCTGGAACTGGAATCTTAGTCCATCCCTCACTTTCCTAAAGTACAACAGGGCTTCCCGTTGCTGGTGGGACAAAGTCATGATCCCTGCATGCCGTGTGCGTGCCCTAGGCTTTGGCCTCATGTCCCTCCTCAGTGTGCTTTCTGCCAGCTCCGCAGACTGGCTGTGTTGTCTGGCTGTGCAGGGGACATGTCCCCAGCCTCTTGGAACCCGACCACCCTACCTCCCCTTCAGGTCTCAGCTCAGTTGCAGCTTCTGCAAGAAAGCCCTGGCTGGCCTTCCTGGCTAGGCTAGGACACCACAGTCACCGCGTACCCTCTCCTCCACAGTGTTAGTCTCCATGCAGCTCCCTTTCATGTCCCCACACAGGTCTTTGTGCTCCCATACATTTGCAGCCATAGTCGGTTTGGCCGACCATTATGTTCCCAGGGCCTGGCATGTCGTAGGCACTCACTAGATAGCTACTGTCAGAACGAGGGAATGAGGGAAGTACCTACATTTCTCCATGGCAAGATAGGTAATATTTTGAGATGCCCGTCAGGGGGCCCCTCTTGGGATTCGTGATGCTCTCAGAGGGAAGTCTCCACATTTCTCACCAAAGAGTTCGTGGGCTTCCCTGAACGCTCAGATTTCCAGTGCTTTTTATAGCCAAGGTCACAGTAACATGGAGGCCCATTGCCTGATCTTCATCCCGTGCCCAGGGACCAGGTCCTGGTGTTCCCCTTGTGAACCGTCCACTCAGACACAAGGATAGCTCCACTCCCTCGTCTGGAAGCTCCTGAGCTAATGAGGTAGGGATCAAGAAGCCTTACAGTCTAGGTTTGACCCACAATCCTCCATGGTCTAAGTCATTTAAAGGTCCTCTGATCATAAACAGTTTTCTTACTGGAAGAGTTGGAAATTAACCTCATCACCCAGAAGTCAGAGGCTCTTCAAACTCAAGAGTGACTTTTTCTTCATTCACTTTATACAAGAAAACTGCACTTTCAGTCAACTCGTAAGGAAAAGTTGGTTCATTTATGCTCCTCTTTGAGTTAGACAGAGGTATAAATAAAAAGTAGATTACATTTATTGGACACTTTGTGTTTGCCAGGCACTGGGAAAGCATATTCTGTGGACCATCTTATTCAGTGCTGACAGCTTCTCTGTGAGCTGTGAACGCTGTGATCATCCCACTTTATAGACAAGAAACAGAAGCTCAGAGAAGCCAAGTCATATGTGTAAGGCCACACAGCCAAACGCCATAGAGCTGGAATTTGAACTCAGAGCTGCTTAAGCACATGCCATTAGCCACCGTACTGCATTGCCTTGTCCTTTCTAGTATTCTGTATCACTTACAAGTGATGAGCTCTCTGGCATAAAACAATGTCTCCCCATTTCCCTTCACCTACTAACCTATAGCCAGATCACTCCCTAAGCCTATTTAAATGGTTTTATGTTTAAGGTATAACTAAAAAGCACGCCGCACAAAGTTGCATTAAATCTAGCCTAACAGTCCTATAAAATCATAGTTAATTATTTTATTTTTTAATAAATATGTCTCCCATTTTTATTTTAATATTTCCTTTTAATATTTAATGACAGCAACCGTAGCCTTGAGGCACGTTTAGAAAAGCAACACCAGTCCTGGCAGTCCTAGTCTTGGGTGCCCTCAGATCTTTTCCTTCCCCTGATGGGCAGTTTTGCAGGGGACCAGATCCCTACAGTCTACCTCTCCCTGGGTTCTCAGATGGTTCCACCAATCAGAAGCCTTGGCGGGAGATGGGGGTGGGGCTTAAGGAAGACCACTCCCTTTCCGTCTGTCTCATTCTGCAGCAGCGTCTCCCTCCTCCATGGCTCCGGCTCCCGCAGGTGTCCCCAGCCCTTGGGCTCCATTTACCGCGGCCTGTTGTCCCCCCAGCATCAATGTGGTGGTTGGCTCCTGTTCTTCGTGGCTCTGGGCTTCATAACTGCTCCCTGTGGACCTTCCACCACATGTGAACCAGTTCCCTCCGTTAAGTTTCCTCTGTTGTAAATAAATTGGGCTTTCTGTTCTCCAGGTCCGACCTCACTGATAACGGGGGTCTTCTCACATGTGATCACAATACTTATGTACAGTTTACTTTAGAGGCATGGATGGCGGATGCTGCCATTGGGTTAAGATCCTCTGGTTGAAAACATCCAGAGCCTTTGTGTTCGCAGTCACGGTGGTTGTAGAGCAAGACCCTGGCTGGGTGTCTGACATCCTGTTTCTAGTTCTAGCTGAGTCCCTCAGGGAACTTAGAGTCACTCAAGTAGGAGCCTCAGTTTCATGGGAAATGAAGGTCTCCCCTGTTAGCCAGCTTAGCTCCTTCCAAACCAAGACATTTCTAGGATGCAATCTCAGCTTCTGTGGGGACCAGTGAGTTGTCTCCTTCAGTGCAATGGCCCCTTGACTCTGGCCTCCCTGCTGTCCTTCTGATGTGTGCTATTGGCCCTGACGGCTTGGGTGACAGAAAGTGGGTGAGCCAGGGCAAATGTCTCGCCCCTCTGGGAAGAACCTCAAGTAGGCCTCTCTGATTCTGAGTCGGGCCGTTGGTCTTCATTTGGGCGCAACACGCTGGCAGGACACACAGAGCAAGAGTAAAATTCAGGGCTCAGCTGTCCTGACTGTGGGTTTAACAGTGTTTCAAAGACAATGTTTCATATAGTCACCTTAAATATAAAACCAACCAGCAGAATATACAGATGGCGCTCATCTGATGTCATAGATTTTCTCTTTCTCCGTTTTAAGCACAATCTTCTTATATTCTCTTAACACCATTAAAAAAAATACCTTATCGTGCATTCGTGTGTATTTGTGTGTGTGTTAATATATGTATATGTGTGTGTGTGCATTAAATCTAGCCTACTTGGGTAGATTTAATGCACTTGGGGCCAGATGCTCTGGGTAATGTAAATAACTTTAATTTACTAAACTTCACCCCCTCCCCCACCCCAGCCCTTTCTTTTCAGAAGATACATTTAGACAATCACCATTCACATCCAATTCAAAAGACCTGCTACCTAGTGAATCTGTGCTTCACGGAAGAATATCAACGCCAGGTATGGAACCATTATTGACTTTGCTTCTGCTGTTGGTTGCTTAAAATGACTTTTCCGAAATGTGTAAATGTGCAGCTACTTTCAGCCTAGATGTGGACGTTATTCATATGAAGCTAGGTTTTTAAAAAGAGGAGAAACTCAATTTAAACAGCTGTAAAAGTTTATTAAAATAAAGTGTAGGCCGTAATAAAGTGCTTCTTTTTCCTTTTAGGAACTTATTGTTCTTTACCTGCTGATGTTTCTTTCATGTAGCAAATTTCCTTTTCTTTGAAATAGCGAAGTATAACCTGAAAAGAATTTGCTTTACACGCTTTTAGTATTTCAGGCAGGCAGCCAGGAAGATACAGGAGGGCAGTGGCAAGAACTAATCGCCAGCAGGGAAGGTCGTGACCCTGGTGGGGTGTGGGTGGCCACAAAGACCACTTTGGTTTCCACAGAAGCAGCACAGCTCATTAAGATAATCTTGCCCCCCGGATTCCACCTCTCTTCTTAATCAGACTATCTGCATATATCCCTTTAATGCGCCTTTTTGCAATCTCAGCATCAGTACATAATTAATTTATTATCCGCTCTTCCTTTTTCATTTCTCCTTTCCAGGGTAGAGGGCAAGATGTGTTTGCTGTCCCCTTATCAGCAGCATGGCCAACCCTCAGGGCTGTGTGTGTGTTCTCAGAGTTATTATGAGATGAGAGAAAACCACCGCACTGTACCCCATACTCCTCACCAGTGTCTCCCCACCCCCACCCCCACGCCAACCCCGGTGCAGCAGCTGGGAAGCTTCCTGCTGTTGTAACTGTAGTTCCAGCCATGAGAGAATGTCAGAAGCTCTCCGTGGCCTCTCTACCCACTCACTTGTCCAGGAGAGTGTGGGAGACCAAGGCTACGAGTTCAGGAGAAGCTCACAGCAGGGCTATTGGCCAGGAACCCCTGCGAGAATAAAGTCTAAGTGTCCTTCACACACCCAAGGAGCCTGGTGTCACCGATGGCTGGAGATCTGAGTATTTTGCAATTCGGAAAGAGCCAAGTAGCCTCTTATGAAATATTGGCTTGGGGGTATCACAGGTCACTGGAAATGGTTTGTGACAAACAGTGGGGGGAAAGGCAACTCTGTCACCTTTTAGTCTTGTGATGACAGATCCATTTCTTCTCATCCCCAAAGAGTCCAGATACCTACGCGCTTTTTAGCTTTGCAGGACTTTTCTATTCAAACACCATAAAGAACGTGCTTACACAAAAACACATTACATAATATCTGGTTCTAGAGGTGGAAAGAAATTTTGCTTAGTTGATGTCTTCATTCTCAAACAGGGGCTCTTTGAACTACTGTTTACTTCCCACAGTGTCATTTTGAATAGCCATCTTCCTGGTCCCCAAATTATCACCCTGCTGTTAAGGTGATGGATTGTGACTTTCTAACGTCATAATATCTGCCTCGGAACTGCCGTCAGAGTGCTGTGACCCATACAGCCAGCATCCCGTGATGTATATGCAAGCCCTGGTTGCTGCCTTAATGTTTGGCTTGGCTATATTTTAAGAAGGGTTTATTGGTCAAGTTACAAGCCGACCTCAAAGAGCGGTATCAGTGTGTGTTTAATTGCGTCTAGAGGGGGTTTCTGGGGTTTGCTTGACAGATGCATTACAGATTAGATAAACTCACACTTAAAAAGCTAACTTTTATTTTGGGTGAGAAGTTAGCGTAACTGGGATTTTCGAAATGTAAATCTACTTTTCTGAGAGATAATCACTCTATACTTCAAAAAGCCTTCAGGCAGAGGACAAGCAAAATGACTCTATTCATATTTTGCTAAAACTGACAACTGAAAAGGGACTTTAAAAAAAAAAAAACAAGGTGAAAATGCTTTAGAAATGGAATCAAAATTAGAATTAAAAAGGACAAGGACAACCATGTAATCACAAAGCTTTCATAATCTGAACACATGTTTTGTAAGGAAAAGCCTCAATAATTTGGGCTAGTTATGGAGAAGACCAATCTGAATTAACAAAAGAACATAGTAGGGAGACTTTTCAAGAAAACGTCTCTTTCAAGTCTGGATAGCACTAAATAGCCAGTGCATTCCTACTGCAGCTCTCCAGTCCCTTACCCACAACTCTGAAATCCAAAAAGCTCTTCCAACCACAATTTTTTAAATAAGTGACTTGGTGGCAAAACCTAATGGGAGACTAATTATAGCCCATATGTACCGCCAACGGTGGAATGCATCCATTTTGTTACAGAAATATCAACGTGCTTGATTATGAAGGCCCACTGGAGTGTTATGTAAAATATGTCTTGGGCACCGTATTAGAGTTCTGCAATAAGGAAAAGAATGAATCCCCAAATACATCAGAGCCCAGGGGTCTCAGATAGAGACTGTGGACCTACAGTTATTCCAGGACTCTGCTAAATGCCATGCTGGAAATAAAGAAATTAAAGCTACAGTTGAAGATCTTAAGGTTTGAAGGTATAAGAGTCACGGATTCTTATAGAAAATTCCAGAAGACTTAGTGGGCAGCAGACTGCTAAATCAGTGGAGATGTGGCCAGCAAGAAGAATCCAGTGGGGATGTTCTCACACTAAGGCGGTGTTATTCACAAGGGCATGCGTTAAAGAGAAAAGGAAGAGGTGGGTAGGAGTTCGCTGGTTTGAGAGACTGGTTAGCTTTGCAAGAAGCACATTCAGTTAGGGAGGAATAGTGCCTGTGCAGCAACAGGGAAGCCAGGAAGGAGACAGGTAGTGACTAGGCAGAAAATAACGTGTTGTTAGTGTGTAAATAAACGCCTGAGTGTCCTTAGAAATCTTCTCTCCAGTAGTTTAAACATTATCGTTAAAATATTATTTCTGTTCTTTATTTACTTAGCAAACTTCTTCTTTGAAGAGCTAACGCAAAGACAAATATAAGCCCAAGGAATTGTCTCAAATTCCCAATGAGGAGAGACCATAATTAATGAAGTTTAACATGCCTGGTTCCAATCTAAGAAGTACCTTGCAAATGCTGAAGACCCGTAGCATTAATTAGCAGTATATATTGGTATATGTTTATAGACCCTCTGTCAATGGGAATGAGACGCTCTTCTAAACACCTGTGGAGTCGGACCGTGGGGCAGAGGAGGTGCTCCACATGAGGGCACCATGGAGGGCCCCACGGCTCCGGACCAGAGGGGTCCCTCCAGCACTTTGCGATTGTGTCTCAGGCCTGAGGAGAAGGAAGCAAGCGGTATGGGAGATAGCAAAGTGGGGAGAGGTGGGTAGGACTGTGGACTGTGAAGAAATCGAGAATAGCACAGTTAACTAGGCATTTGCCTTTGGCAGATGGTATCTGAGACACACAGCTGCCACCGTCCCAGAGAAACAGAATAAACACAGAGCTTCACGGTGTCCTGGCCTTCCTTGCTGCCACTATTTCTAGACTGACTTTCCTGAGAACCAGAGAATGTTCACGTGCCAAGATCTAACATTTTTACTTGCTGTGAATGTCTTGGACAGAGGTGATACCAGGGATCCTTAATAAAATGATGAGTTCAAAGCTGCTGTCCCCTTCTGCTGGAGGGATGGGGGGACCAGATATCCTGGAAGCCATGAATAGATGACGGGGCATACTCTGGGTGGTGATGTTGCTGATGGTGATTTTACTGAAGAAATGAAAGCGCTTTCCCTTTCCTTTTACAGAAGAAATGAAATGATGGCAATTATAGGCCGTGTATAATCTAAGGTTCTTTGTCTAATCTGTAGTGGTCTCACTTTGTGGAAGATTTGCATTCAGAGAGGAAAGAGCGCGGGGTCAGCTGTTTCTCCGGGTGCCACGGGCTGCTCTGGATGAGGAGTAGAGATGTAGGACCGTGAGACCTGCGGCCATTCGCCATTAGCCAGGCGTCCTTCCGGAAGCAAAGGCTCTGGAGAGGAGAACTTCTGTCTCAGTACCCCTTTCAGACAATGCGGAGCTTCCATTCTGTTTTATTATGATTTTGAAGGCACAGTATGTTTGCTCTGTATTAAGCCAAAAAACAAAAACACAAGCAGAGCGGGTGTGAAGGGAAATGTGGGTCTCTGTGGAATTCTCTCTCAGAGTTTGGAGCCACGCATGCTTCTGTTGGATATTTCAGAGAGAGAACTTCACAATGCAAAACGTACCAACAATCACATGTGCCCACCCCCACCCTCATTATTTGCCAGCACCCCGAAAAAGAAAATGGCACCTTTTGTTGTCATTGTGGTTTAGAACAGGGAAACAAGATGTAAAGAACATGGGGAAGGTCAAGTCCCTTCTAGAACTTGCTCTGTCCATCAGGATCTGCTGTTAAGTTAGAAAGACTGGTTTGGAGTGGCCAGCCTTGTCACCAGGCCAATTCTTGATTTATTTTCCTCCCTCTGTTCTGCCCATCAATCTGATACAAGGGGTCGCATCTCATGTACTTGGCTGAGATCTAGATAAAGCATGTCTGGTGCTAAGTGGCCCCCGCAGCCCCGCCCCCGTCCCTGGAGCCGACCGTCAGCCAACCCTGCTACTAGGCGGATAGGGATGACCTCTTTCAGACTGCTCCCTAGGAAGGTATGCCAGTCACCTTCCTTTATGTTTAACCCTTACCAGCTCAGAGAGAGAGACGGACAGACAGAGCTGTCCTGGATTATAGCAAAGTGTTTTCTTTAATCCTTTTTCAAATACAGCACATTCTTTTTAAATTCAGAATAAGTCACAAATAAGCAATAGAACATTGAGTGTTGTTGGTGTCCACAGTGTTGTAGCTTAAGCTCCTTTTTGATTCCACAAATTCCTTGTGTATGGGGAAGGAAGCTAATATGGTCCACTAACATGCAGCTTTTTTTTTTTTCCCGATAAATACAGCATAGTACTTGAAATGTATTTCCTCTTCCTTATGATTTTCTTAGTAACATTTTCTTTTCTCTAGCTGACTATTCTAAGAATACAGTATACAGGGGCACCTGGGTGGCTCAGTCACTTAACCGTCTGCTCTCAGCTTAGTTCATGATCCTCGGGTCCTGG